ATCTCATCGCAAGAAGTAGAGAGCGAATGTCATATGGCACTTCGCATTCCAATGATTAGTATCAAATTGAATAGGTTATCATCAATAAAAAAAGAGAAAATATTTATTCCATAGTTATAATCATAGAATTTGTTTTCAACTATATTCTGTTTTATGTCTGTCGACGCTTAGAGTATTAAAAAGAACTTTCAGTTATAAACAAATAATATTGCATCATGTTGTACAGTTTATCTATATCCGTTACTAACTAGAAATTGATTGAATATGAGCTTTACGAGTTTATTAAAACCATAAACATATTGATACATATACTTATGAATGTTTGTATAGACGAGTAAAAACAATAGAGGTCGATATTAACGAAGTAATGTATCTTCTCTGCAGCTGTATTCTAACCGAATGAAACAGAAATTCAGTTATCGCTTGCTGCCGTTTTTATTTTATTTTAATGTTATAGATGCACCAAAAATCTTTTTAGGTAGTGTATTGTTATTTCATCAGAAGTACTACTACAATTTACAAGATGTTACGTAAATAATTACAGTTTTATCCAGGCGGTACATATGATTCTATAAGAACCATATATGTTTGCTGTATTTTGTCTTTCTAGACAAGTAAAAAATGAAAACTTATTTAATAAACATGCATATTATCATGACCAAAATAAACAAGAGATAAAACTGATATCTCTTTTTCAAAGAGGCAACTTATTCACTTTAATTTCTACGCCATATTATAGTTAGATAGTTTATCATGCTGTCTAAGTATAATTTCTTGCAATGAGATTCCATTTTTCAGCTTTAACCGTACATAAAAATGTGTTTTCAATCTGGATTTTTTCCGCTACAGCAAATCTCGTAGAAACTCGACTAGAAAGAGTCTAAAGCTATGTCCAAAGTCATATCTCGAAAAATAAGGAAAAAATGATAGTTGATGTTGAATTATGCTAATGCTAATTTAATTCTAATACGAAAGTATTAAGTGTTACTCTAATACTAATGCCAAGAGTATTAAGTATTAGACTAATTTTAATACAAAAGTATTAGCATTACCTTAACTCTAACACTAATGCACCACCCCTAACCGGGACCGTGACCCGGACCAAAAAAAGTGATTTTGCAGTTCCCTAACTTGAGCTTGTCAGCATTCGATATTTGTTGTCGAAAATAATTGATAAATTAATCAAATTGGTTGAGGATGTGAATGTGCTTGATGAAATCAATTTTATATATATCTTAGCTGAATAATCAAGACTGTTCGTCGGATGTCATTGTCTTCAGTTCATTAAAGATTAAAATAGAAAAATGGATATGAAACAGATATAGAGATAAAAGAAAAAAGAAGCCCAATCTAAAAGTATTGTCGACTAATTCTCAAAAACTATTTCATCAGCACTTTTTTTCATAAGCGTTATAATATAATAATCCAAACGGTAAATTCTTTAGAATAAAAACTAATACCAATACATGAATTTGATTTAATCATAACAATTGATTTTTTCGATCCCGACGTCATTATTGTTTATAAACATGGTTACTGAGGATCCTTTTCGATCAATAATCAATGTTTATATGTATGATTATATTTTTTATTTATTTTGTGTAATGATAGAATGAAAATCAATGTTTTGAAAAAAATCGATTTTTCATTTAAATGATGGATAAGGACGAGCAAATTCTATATTGTGATTAATTTTAACAAATTGACGTTGATACGCTTCGAATGGTCCTGTTTCATTTGTTCCACGAGCATTTGATATATACATAATCATATCTGTAAGATCATATAAACCAGTATGTAAATCAGCAGTTTTTGCAACGGATGTTATGTTTCGAATAGATGATTCTGGTGTTATATATCCATATTGATCAAGAATTTGTTTATATAATTTATATTGACGAGATGGGCATAACTAATCCATTCCACAATATACAGCATTAGGTAAACGTGGATGTCATTCGGTTAAAGGTCATAAATTCTGATCATCAATAAAATTAACACGTGGATGAGAATATTGTATCATACGAGCGGTACCAAGTTTTCTATCAGCTAGAGCTAAAACTAAATGGCATGTTCGTTTAACATTAGCAATAATGAAAGTGCATCATCAAGTGTTTCAGAATATTGTAAAATATATCGTTCAACAAATACAAATGGAAGACCATTCATACTTTTATCACCGAATATATTGTCAGAAAAATAAATTCCAATTTCTGAAATATCTATTTGTGCTGATGACATTCCCGTTAATGTACCAGTGTAACCTAGTCAAATATCCATAATAGTTAAAAAATATTTTTCAATAGAAGAAAACTTTTTACAATACCTTATGAGACTCAAAGATAATTTTCTACAAATCATCGCAGTTGCAAAATACTCTTTCATGTATGTCAATTTATTATATTATTGTGCACAACTTTTTACTACACAACAACAAAAATAACAAAAACGCACATTGATTATGTAAAGCAGGCTTATATAGTTACAATTAAAGTAATTAGTTTATAAAAGATCATTGAAGAACAAACCGTTGCACTCTATTATTATAATAGTCGGAAACATATAAATATGTTTCAGTAGGATCAAGTGCCACATCTGCAGGATACGAAAGAAGTGTATTAGTATTGCCCCCTGCACCAGTTGCACTGCCGGCCACAACCGATCCTTGTGTATCTCCAAGGTTCCATCGCATCACACGATTATTGTTACTATCAGCAATATAAAGAGTTTGACCATTACGTGTCACCCAAACACCTGAAGGACGACTCAATTGGTTAAGATTCGTTCCCGCTCCATTCCCACCTGCAACTGTTATTCCTGTTCCGTTGCCGCCTATTATGAACTTCTGAATGCGATTGTTATAACTATCAGCGACATATAAGGCTGCTCGATCTTCATCTAAATGCATAAATCGAGG